ACTTTGCACAATCTCTTTAATTTTTTTTTAGGCCCTTCTTCCATCTTTTTGCTGGCCTGATTCCCCCCCTCAGTTCTCAGCTCAAATGTTACCTCTGCAAAAGGTTTCCCTGCCTACTCTTCGAGTATATTAAGGAGCCTCCGTCCCTCCATTGCTCTGTTGTTTCCTCCCCCTGTATGGACTTAACACTACTATACTTGTCCTCTATAATGTATGCTTTGTTAAGATGGACAGGTTTCCTATCTTGTTTATCTCTCTGCCCCCAGCATCCAGAACTGGGCTCAGCACATAGTAGGTGTTCAGTAAATCTGTGTTGAATAAATACTTAAAAGAATTAACTGCCAGAAGTCCACTGTGATGGGAAGCTAGAGAATGTAGAATGTGAGGTCAGGGAACTTGGGAAAGAGCCTAAACTGAGTGAGAAACAGCGGAGGGTTTTAAACACAGGAAATGTCCTGAACTAGTTTAAGTTTTCATACANGCACTCTCCCGAGTGAGCCACAGGCCGGCCCCTCATACACTTTTTTTTAAAAAGCCATTCTTTTATAATTATGGAAAAAAAAATTTTTCTAAAGATGACTGGTAAGGGAATCTTAACCCTAGACTTGGTGTCATCATATATCCATCATCCACCTGGCCGATCTTATTTCATTGTCCCCCTAGTACCCCTTTTTGAGCCCTTTGGATTATTATGCAGCAAATCTCAGACATTTCATCCAGAAACACTTCAGTCTGCATCCATAAAAGATGAGGACCAACCATCCAGGATTCAATCCCTGTACCAGTTGCCAAAAACAAAATAAAACCAAAAGTAAACCAAAACACCATAACCACAATACCATCACCACACCTTTAAACATTTACAGTCATTTCATGTTATCACATACCCCATCAGTGTTCAGATTTCCCCAACGGCCCGATTAATATCATTTTTCCCTCTTTCCAAGCATAATGATTTATTTTATTTGAAACATATGAAAATGTTGAGTAATAGAATTGTTCTCTGCATTAATAATAAAACTGAACAGCGTCAACAATTATCTACTCATTTACCCCTACCGACTCTTCCCAGATGATTCTAAAGCTAAATGCCAGACATCATATCCCATAAATATCTTTTTTCTTTTTTTTTTTTTACAAGATGATTGGTAAGGGGATCTTAACCCTTGACTTGGTGTTATCAGCACCACGCTCTCCCAAGTGAGCCACAGGCCAGCCCTTCATAAATATCTTATTACATTTGGTTTGTTTGAATCAGGATCTAAATAAGATCTACACATTGCACTTGTTTGCTGTGACTCTTTTTCATTGACGTTTTAAAAGGTTCTTACTCTGGTTGCTGCATGGAAGATAAATTGTAAGGAGGCAGATTGGAACCCAGAAGGCCAGAGAGGCCACCGTTATATATTAATTATAATATTAATTGCTAGGGCCGGCCCGGTGGCGCACTGCTACAGTGCACCGCTTGGGAAGCGCGGCGGCGCTCCCACCGAGGGTTCGGATCCCGCATGCAGACCGGCCACTCACTGGCTGAGCGAGGAGCAGGGGCAACACCGAGGGTTGCGATCCCGTNCCGTGGCCTTGGTGTTATCAGCACCGCACTCTCCCGAGTGAGCCACGGGCCGGCCCTAATTGCTAGCATTCACTGAGCATTTATTATATACCAGAAACTGTCCTTACATGTGTTAATTTATTTAATGGCCACAGCAACTTTTTAAGACGAGGTGCTACTATTATTCTTGTTGTACGGAAGAGGAAGATGAGGCATGGAGGGGAAAGTCACATGCCCAAGGTCACATAGCCAGGCCCCAGCCAGGAAGTAGCAGAGGCAGGATTCCAACCTTGCAACCTGGCCCTGGAGTCCAGGCAATTTGCATTTATGCTTTACTGCTTCTTGAGGGGGGCAAAGGGCATGATGATGAAAAAGTGGCCTGATTGGAGAGGTTAACTCAGGGCCGGCCCGTGGCTCACTTGGGAGAGTGTGGTGCTGATAATACCAAGGCCAAGGGTTTGGATTCCTATATGGGGATGGCCAGTTGGCTCACTTGGGATAGCGTGGTGCTGACAACACCAAGTCTAGGGTTAAGATCCCCTTACCAGTTACCTTTAAAAAAAAAAAAAAGAGGTTAACTCAACAGGACCTAGTGATGAATTGGGTGGAGGTGGTAAGGG